TTTGAGACAGAGTTTCGCTCTTGTTGCCTAGGTTAGAGTGCAATGGCGCAATCTCGGCTCACCACAACCTCCACCTCCCGGTTTTTTTTTTTTTTTTTTTGAGACAGAGTTTCGCTCTTGTTGCCTAGGTTAGAGTGCAATGGCGCAATCTCGGCTCACCACAACCTCCACCTCCCGGGTTCAAGCGATTCTCCTGCCTCAGCCTCCCGAGTAGCTGGGATTACGGGCATGTGCCACCACGCCCGGCTAATTTTGTATTTTTAGTACAGACAGGGTTTCTCCATGTTGGTCAGGCTGGTCTTGAGCTCCCAACCTCAGGTGATCCGCCCACCTCGGCCTCCCAAAGTGCTGGGATTACAGGCGTGAGCCACCGCGCCTGGCCTGGCTGCTGACTTTAAGGGAGGCGGGAGGCACGGGACTCTCTGGCCCCAGCCTTGTCCTCCGTACCCCACAGTCCATGACTTACTTCCCTGGGGAAGTGGAAACACAGAGGTGCTAAGCCTGTGGGTTTGTCTGACTGCTGGCTGATTGTGTGACCTTGGGCAAGCCTTTTACCTCTGGAACTACCACTCCCAGATACCTACACAACTCTCTACCCTGGCTCCAAGTCTTGGCTCCTCTGTTACCTTCTCAAGAAGCCTTCCCTGACTACTGTTTGAAACAGCACCCCTTGCACCTCCACGACTTTCCTTGTTGTAATCAAACTTGACTTGCTTTATTATTGGTCTCCTCTTTAGAACAAAAGTTCTATGAGAGCAAGGATTTCTGCCTGTTTTGTTCACAGCTATTCCCCATTGTCCAGAACAATAAATATTTATTGAATGAATAATGCACAAAATGTCACAGTAACCCTGCGAAAATATCCAGAAGGAGCAGTGGAGTGGCAGCACAGAGCACATGTGGGTGGGCCAGGCAGCGGGAGATCAGGGGTGGCCACTGCTTTGCTTCATTCATTTGACAAAGAACATCTTCCCGAGGCCTGGCAGGGAAGTGGGCAGGTGGGTATGGAGGCAAACTGGCGATCCTGCTCCCAAATAAAGTGGGGGGGGGCGGCCCGCAGCCCCTCTCAGCACCAGCAGACTGTGGCCACTTGAGAGTGGGAGGCCAGGGTGCCAAAGCTTCTGAGCTTTTCCCTTGAAAAAGACAGAAATCAGGATTTTATAAAAAAGGGATTATCTCTCATTTAAAAAAATGTTATCAACCAAGTATAAAATTTTTTCTTTCATACTTGAGAATTCAAGAGAACCTGTCTGTGGCCTAAATTTGATCACAAGCTCCTGGGGTCAAATGCTGACAGAACTGATGCAAAGGGGATCTGCATGGGCTCGATGGCACCCAGAACAGGAGGAACAGCGCTCCCTGGCCCAGGAGAAGCTCTGGGCCCAGCACAGATGAGCAGAGCAACGCAGGAGAGCAGTGCCCTGGGCTCAGGGGGGAGACAGGGCAGACCCCTGCAGGAGGGGCACTCAGCAGCCTTGGAAAGGAGGTGCAGAGAGAAGGGGGACTGCAAAGGCTGGAGGTTCCCAGAGCTTGTGAGAACCTCTGTGGCATTCCATACCAGCCACCGGGCGAGGCCCCACCCCCACTCTCCTGGGTCCCCCGCCAGGCTCCTGGGTGGCTCTCATCGCAGCGGTAATTACATAATTGATGGTACAATAAGCTGTTTCACATGTGCCTCCCTCACTAGAATGTAGCCTGAGGAGGGCAGGGACTTCCTCTGACCCTAAGCTCCAAGCTTAAAAAACGGCCCCAGAGTCGATGTCCGTTCAGTATTGCTTGGATAAATAAACAAACGAGATGGATCCGAGCGCTGGGCTCTGTGTTGGGTGCATTTAACCCTCAACCCAGACCAAAGGGATGATACCCAGAGAGAGGTTTGAGGATGAGGGGCCTGGAGGCCAGGATGCATGCAATAGCCAATCAGGAAGGAGAGACAAAGTGTGTGCTGTCTCCTCCAGAACCCCTGGTGCCTGCACTGGTTCACTTGTGGAGCACATTTCTGCTCAGCTTACAGTCTGGATGTGGGCCGAGCTGGGTGCAGGGGACACACAGGAAACAGCACATGGCCCTTGCTCTCCAGAGGCAGACACACACACAGACAACTGCCATGGTGGTGTTGAGATGTAGTGACACCCAGAAGGCTGTGAGGTGGGGAGAGAAGGGTATCAGGGAAGGCTGGAAGGAGGAGGGCTTAACTATGTGAGGGAGGATGAAGGCACCCCATGTAAGCAGCAGCCTGGGTGGGGCTGGGGGGCTGCAAAGAGCAAATGGGGGCCCCTGCAGTCACCTCCCACCTCTGCCAAATTCTCTGAGCCTTCCCCGAACTCAAGTGGCCCGGCTGCTGCAGCTGGTGTTCAGTGTCCTCTGTCCTCATGGCGCCAATCCCTGGCAATCCTGCAAAGTCACCCCATCTATGAGCTGCCTGCATCCTGGCTTCCTGCCGAGCCACCCTCCTGTGTGCCTTGAGGACCATGGGTCTGCCACCCAAACCGGATAGGGGTCTCCGACTTGCTTCTACGTGGTGCTGCCTACACCCCCGTCTCCTGGCCTGCAAGACCAGCTGTTAAGGGCAATGAGCCACTAGAAGACACTTTTTGCAAAGCACATTCTAGGTCAAATCTCCCCCTCATTTTGCCGAGGGATTAATGGAAGAAGTCCAGAGTGGGCCAGTGACTTGTGCAGGACGCCCAGCAGGGCTGAGATCCCTCCACAGCTCTGTGCCTCAGAATGCCTGTCTGTCAAACAGAAAGGGAACAAGGTCTCCCTCCTGGATACGACAGCTTCCCAGAGAAGTCGTGGAATGTGCCGCTGCCTTCCGCCTTCCCCAGCCTAGGCGGAACCGCCCCTCGCTTCCCTGCCTTTGACACCCCCTCGCTGCAGCCATCCTGACAGCCGGAGAGGCGAAGCAGGCCAGCCCCTCCCAGTCCCGGTTCCACCTGGGGGAGCGGGGAATTGGCACCCCCTCCCTCCCCCAGTCCCCAGGGGAGGAAGCCGCCTGTCAGGCCGCCACGGCGTGTCAAATCCTCTTGCTGCCTAATTGTGAGACGGCGGCGTTTAAAGAAACGCTTTTCTGGCCGCCTGCCACACCGCAAACTGCTTGGTATAATTTTATTATTAAGGAGAGAGAAAAAGAGGGAGGGGGATTGGAAGAGAGAGGGAGAGAAAAAAGGGGAGAGAGAGGAGGAAATTGCTTCGTCCAAGTCAGCTGGTGGAGTATTCTGCTCAACGTGAAAGCGGGGCCGGCTTTCCAGTTGGCAAGCTGACTTCGTTAATTGCGCATTCAGTCTCTACTTAGGGTAATTGAAACGAAGCGGGGCCGGCTCTGACAATTAGGGTCTGCGACTAGGCCATTAACCCCTTCCGCCCCCGCCTACGCCTCAGCACCTCTTCGAGGTGGAGGGGGGTCACCGGGCGCCCCCGCCAAGACCCGATCCGGGGCGGTGGCGGGAGGCCCCACGCGAGGCGTGGACTGCGGCAGCGGGTAACGGGCGCGCGCCCCAGCGCGAGCAGGGTTAACGCGGCGCCGGGTGTCCTGCAGCACGGCTGGGGCAGAGGGGAACCAGGAGCAGCGCAGGGTGTGTGGGGGTTGTTGCGGCCTCTCCGCCCCTCTGCAACAGATGTTTCAGCCGTGTAAGACAAAGGCAGAGCGCCTGCTGCTGCCGGAGAAAATCCGCAGGACTCCCTCAGGGGCAGGTAAAATTTCACCTTCTATTTGTGTTCCCCCGCCCGCCCCCGCCTTGTTTCCCGGCCTCTGCGCCAATCCGGAAAGCGCCACCAAAGACGCCGCGCCGCCGCCTCCGCAGCCCAGCCCGCTGACCCCAGCAAGGTC